TTGTGCAAAGATGCTTTGAAAGATCATAAGGTTAAGTTCATCAACAAACATGAGGCAAGGCGAGGTCAAGATGGAGATGGGTTAAGATGATTTGCTTGAAAGTGAAGAAAGTTGGTCACAAAGTCAAAAAGAGAAGATGGAAAGATGAATAATTGGAGTAGAAATTAGAACTAGGACTAGTGATTAAGTGAGCTGACTTTGAATTTAATCGACGGTTGAATGTTAAAACTTGGACTGTGCCTTGCTCATGAAAATAAGCTATGGTAGGCATTGTCCACTAAGCGAATCATTTGTTAGAATGTCTTGGAATTGGTTGTAAATAGTTAAGTATAACGCATGCAGGTTGAATTAGGCTTGTCAAGGTTAATTGAATTAGTGTTTAGCATGGTGAATGGAATACATCACACTTACATGTTTGACTTGTTTTTTTTTTTGAATTAAGATGGTTTGGACATTTAAACTGGATTTAGATATGGATAGATTTGTTTTTTTTTGTTGCTTGGATTGAAAATTAAAATGGATGTGAATTTAGAAAAATGCTTTTAAAATGGATTGGATTACATTGAATGAATGGACGTGGGTTTGCACTTGGTATCACATTTGGATATTGGCATGGTTTGACAATGGACATTGGTTGAAAAAAGATGTAGTGGACTATAGGCTAAACTTAAAACCCACAATTGACTTTTGTCAACTGGTTGACCAAAAGTCAACCTAGGCAAAAATGTGTAATGTAATGCAATTTGATCATGACATAGACTAAAAGTGAAAGAGATATGATTTAAACTGCGCTATGAACCTATATAGATCCAAGTCAAACATAGGGTTTCACATAAAAGCCAAGTTAAATGCAAAAGGAGAGATTAGTCAAGAATTAGGGTTTAGGCCCAAAGGAGGATTAAGATGAAGTTATATCAAAACTTTTAGGCACCAAGATTAGGGTTTTATTAGGCGCAAACATCCACAAACTTTGGATCCATGATTATCAAATAGAAAATGTGAATGAATGGTAGTATGCAAAAGGCAAAAATATAGCAGGTGAACTTAAGTACAAGGTCATAAAAAACAAAAGAGGAGTGTAAATTTAGGGTTATGACAACTGCCCCTATTTAATCTTCTTGGACCTGAGTGTAGGAAATGTGCTAACTTTTTAGACATTCAGGGTAGAAGAGGATTAAATACAAGAATAACCAAAAATTTGTTCGGTGGGAAAAGGTGTTTGAAAGGTAGTAAGGGTTTTTTGATTTGGGAACCGTTTGTGGGGATATGGAATGGCGGAGACGCCTTTGGTGAAGTCATCTGTTGGGGATTGACTGAAATATTCTGTTGGGGAAATGAATTAGTCGCAAGATAAATGCTTGATGCAGATGGTATGCAGTATGTGTTGATATTTCCATGATGCATGAAATTATGATATGCGACAATGTGGGTCATGGTGTTTCGGCAAGATCCCATTGTGGTGAAAGTAGAATTCGACTCGCCTATATTTGCTCGAAAGGTAATGTAGCAAGGGAGACGTCTTTAGAGATTATAGTGGTTTAGGGAAAGCTCGTAGTTGTGAGAAACCTTGTTTGGTGGTGTTTTCGATGAAGTGAGAGTAAGCTCACGAGGGTGAGGAACTCTGTATTTTTAAGGGTGTTTCGTGGTGAATTTAGAATATATCTCCTCAACCTTAAGGTTGATGTATTTATAAAGGCATATGAGCTTGGATTTCAGGAATCCTAAGAAGTAGTAACCACTCCACCTTCATTAGGGATGTTGTTGACTTCCTACTTCTTAGGAAATCGTGACCAGGACTTCTTGCACATGCGGTTATAGGACATGTACACGTCACCCCTGGATTTCTCATTAGGGCGAGTCACCTATTGGGTATGGATTACGATTGGCCTCACATCGCCCTATTGTGAGCCTTTAGGGTTTGTTTAGTCTGCAGAAAAAGAAATGAATGTAATATTATAGTATGATTGCTCATAAGTTATAAGAAAGTTAAAACCTGTATCACCTCTTGCTCAAGGGGAGTTGAGCGTAATCAGTGCTTATAAGAGATCCAAGAATCATTTTCCTCATTTTTGGGCATATAATATATCATGGGACTATATAATTATCCCAACCTTCTAGTTAAGCAAGTTAATTTGCTTGCTTAGAAGGTGATAGAAAAGAATGATGCCTTAGTTTCTCCACCGACGTCGTTATCCAAGACAACATATGTTCTTAATGAAAAAACTGGTCCTCGGGCCATGCCCAAAAAAGGATATAAGAGTTTGAGGCATCTTTAAAGGAGTCTCAATAAGGTCGTAAGAAAGCTAAATACGGTCTTCGTGAGATGTGTCTCCAGAACCTTGCTTTGTCTAAGAAGTACACAAAGTCGTTGAATACGAGTCTCTGTGTCGCCCAAGACTTCTTTGAGAGTGCTTTAAAACATGTGGAGAATTTATATCCTATCAGGCCTATCTCTATATGACAAGTTCTTCTTGATCAAGCAATTTAATACAAGAAAGTATTTTCCTTGGTGGATTAGCTAGATATATAATTAAAAAAAATTAATACTAGTGTGTGTATACCCTGGATTTGTGTATATAATGAATAAGTAAGCTTTATTGTTCTTGTCCTACAACGTGTATTTAAATTTTTTGTTACTTACCATTGTTTTTACCTATTTATGTGAGGTCGAGCTTGAAGTTTTATTGGACGTCTCTAGGGACCGTGTTCGGCAAAGGGTCATACCCCTTCCTTGCCTCTGGGTGAAGAGTTGGTTCAAGGTCGACGTAATGTGGATTCACCACTACCTTTGGAGTGGCGAGTTATCAAGAAGGGGGTGAGTATGTATTTTCCACTATGTGGATTTCTTTCTTTTTGTGTGCATCGACATTGTGAGGCTTTGGTTTCTTTAGTCTTAAGTGTTTGACATGAGATTACAAATATAAGTAGGGGTGAATTGTGTGGGATTGAAAATCCATTTTCAAAAGAAATTTCTTTACAAAAACCAAGTTTAAAAAGATTTTGTAAAACAAACAAAGTAAAAGCATCAAAATAAGAAAATGGAAATATATAGGAAGTAAAAGACTAGAAATTAAAGAGTTAAGAGATAAGAGAAAACACTATAAGTATAAATGTTCGGTCTTAATTAAGCGACGAAATCCTCTCTCCAAAAATTACTCCTAGAGAGTTTCCATTATCTTGAGAGCTTTTAACATATATTACCACAAACCTCCTTTTACAAGGATTCGAGTATTTTAATGGATAACTACCCAACCAAGACTCAGAGGTTTAATTATTGAGACATCCTCAACCAGCTGAGAGATTTTAGCACAGGCTAAACTCCCAAACTAAGAGAGAGCTTTTAACTGATGGCCAAGTTTACGAACCTAGATAGAGTTATAAGTACGAGACCTCCCCAACCAAACAAGATATTTTAATGGTTTAGTTCACAGCCAACCAACACTTTCTTACAAGTAAAATATTGCACAAGAGATAATAGACTCTTGAGCAAGTTATAAATTTACCCCATACTAAAAACAATGATCCTCACAAAATAAATAGTCACTCTCATAGCACTAAGGTAAAACTAAAGTGAGAAATGATATATTTATCGAAAAAATGTGTGTGTGTGTGTGTGTGTGTGTGTATGTGTGTGTGTGTGTGTGTGTATGTTGCCTTAGTATCTTAAGAGACACTTTTATACTTTTAAAATAAACTGATCACTCAAACACATGACTATACGGGCTTGCACACTTTCTCTCTTTTACAACTATGAAGATTTAAGATCTCTTGCTTGATTAATCATAGATTAGACATTTCAAATTTGACCTGACTTATTTTATTTGATGAGTCTTGATATAACCTTTTTTGATAGATGAAATCATCAGAGGTTACTTGATCAGAGATCCCCAAGAACTCCACCGAATGCCGCTTGATATTAGATGTTATCAACACCAAAACTATCAAAGATAACTTACTACTGAGATCATCTGTAGATGATTGTATATGCAAACATATATCTCCACAATGACAAGGGCTTATGGGGAAACTATTCTAAGTCATCCACAAGACCCAAGACAAAAGGTCAAATAGAAAAGCAAAAGTAGTAAAGTTTGAATAACAAGTAGACGTCTATTCCTCAAAAAGCGAGAAATTCTGACTTCAAGAGATCTTGTGAATCTCTAGTCAATCTAACGACTGGTCATAATCCAGGTCTCACTCCACGCTTTTTGTTAAAAGACACATTATTTCTCAAGTATTCAAATTCATTCCCTCTCTCACATCATCTTTCATTCTCTTACTGACTTTGGCATTGAAGTGCTAACATTGCAAGTCAACTCCCTCTCCATTATACTGGAAGCTTAATTCCACTGTAGCAAACATTACTTCATCATCCACTAAACAATTCTGATTCCACCATGAAACAAAAACTATCATTTTAATCCAATCATTTTGTATATACAAAAATATAGTAATACTCATTTATACTTTTAAAAATTATAATAATATTTTCAATTTTGTATAATCTAATTCAAATACATTTCAACTTTTAATTATTTTTTAACATATTAATTTACTATTACATTCAATTCTTTTCCTTTTTTCTGCACACTAAATAAATCCTAAGTCTCTTGATGTTTATAATTTATGATCTCAACACAAAATTGCTAACCTATAAATATTCAACAATCAGGTATTTTTTAGTATGAAAACAAATTATTTCAATATTTCATAAATAATCAAACAAATGAGTTAAAATATAACTTTTCAACCCAAATCAATTCATACATTGACAATTTCTTTTATTTTGATTATCCTCCTTATCCATATAAATCAATAAAATAAACAAAACTGAATTCTATTCTATGTAAATTTATTTTGGGCTTACACCAAATGATAATAGAGCCCAACCCAAAAAGCCCAACATGTAAATCAATACCAACAAAAAAACTACATATAAATACTTCTGTTACATTTTCATCAAAACCCTAACGAGCCACAGAGAGGAAGATCGAGTGAAAATGGTTTCCGGTTCAGGTGCTTGCGCTAAGAGGGTCGTTGTCGATGCAAGGCATCACATGCTAGGAAGACTAGCATCCATTGTTGCCAAGGAGCTTCTAAATGGTCAGAAGGTTGTTCTTGTTAGGTGCGAGGAAATCTGCATTTCCGGTGGCTTAGTTAGGCAGAAAATGAAATACATGAGGTTTCTGAGGAAGAGGATGAATACTAAACCTTCTCATGGTCCTATTCATTTTCGTGCTCCGTCAAAGATCTTCTGGCGTACTGTTCGTGGGTAAGTCACTCATTTGATATATGTTATTTTATAGCTGTAATTTATAAGTTTTGTTTTTGAATTTTGATTATTTGCTTAGATCTTATAATTTGTATACGAAACTTGTGCTGTTAGGATTATTTAGTGTTTGAAATTGGTTTAGTGTTTGCAATTCATTACATGGGCTTATTTAAAATGAGTTATTTTGAAATTTAATGTCTATGTTTATTTCATAGGATTGTTATGAATATTGTTTTAGAAATTTGTTGAAAGGGGTTTCCAGAATTGCTTATATTTGGGAGAAATAATGTGTTGTTATTGAGTGTTGTGCTATGAAGCATGGAAACTAGAACAACACTGAATCAACACGACACTGTGATAATATGAAGAAATGAACATATATTCCGAGTATTCATACCTTTTTTATTTTCATTATAGATATTTTTATTTTCATGATATATATGATATTATCAACTTTAGAGCATATATTAACTCATATATCGTTTTCCCTTATATCAATTGTTATTTCAATTCATTTGATAACCTTATTAGTCAATGAAATTGTAGGATTATATGATTTGTCCAAAAAAGCCATGATAATAACTTTTTTCTGTGTAACGGGATTGTTAATTACTCGTTGGTTTTTTTCGGGACATTTACCATTTAGTGATTTATATGAATCCCTAATCTTTCTTTCATGGGGTTTTTCAATTTTTCATATGGTTCTTTCCATTCATTTCCAAATGTCTATGATCTCTTCCCGAACCAAACATGAATCTTTCAATTCATTTGGCTCTCACACTCAATTCCTTATAGGAAATTCCCCCCTATTTATTAGGGAATGAGCCTATCCTCTTTTCTCTATTTCTAAAAATCTTGAAAATGATTATCAATACAAGACCCAAATATTTGGAGGACTCTTCTGAGCAAACAAATAATTGTCAGCAAAGTTGTTTTTTTTTCTTGAAATCCAAAGAATTATGATTAATTTATACGTAGGTCATCAATTCCGCATTGTAGAAAAGTAGAAACGGAGGCGTTAAACAAAACACCTTTTTTCCTATTTTTCATCATACAGAGAATTCAAGTCATTTTATCGACATGAGTGTTCTATATCGAAAAAATTAGAATTTCCCTATTAACATAGTGGTAGAAAGAATACTAGACTGCGTCGAAACTTCAAACTCGTTAGCTTTAACCATGGTAATGTTCCAAAATTCTTGGTTGATAGAGAATCAAAGTAGATTTACCACTGAATCGCGAAATGCTATGGTTCTGAACTATTTTTTTCGTTATTTCGTAAGAAGTCATTCGCCGGATCATGCACATTTTCCTAGTTATAACAAAAAAAGTGCAGTTGGTTGGATCCAATCTATTCTTTGAAATAAACAACTCGCACACACTCCCTTTCCAAAAAAAATCAATACACCTAGGACTGCACTTATATTTATTAGATTTGTTGCTAAAATATCGGTATCAAACCCGAAACTTCCGGCGGATGGCCAGGAAATGAAGCAAAGAAAAGAATCGGTTATATTTTTCATATGATCACATCTCCTCTTATGGATAGACTAAATTTATTTCTACGATTCCAAGTTTTTTTATTCGTTTTTTGTATATAATAGTTTATTCTATAATCGAATTATTTAATATGAATATATTTACTTATTCTTTCTATTTTGATTCTTACTAATAATGAATATTAGTAAGAATCAAAAGATACTAAGAAGACTATTCTATTCTATATTTGGAATTGGTTAGTCAATTGAAAGATTCCCTATAAGGAATGATATTTCTTAGAAATAAATACTAGTTCGTATGTAAATTGCAAAATACTTAGTTGTTTTCAACACTTTCTAAATAAAAAGGGGGTCATTGGACTAATGAAAGGGACGGAAGAAGGCAAATCAGTATGTTAATCCGAATGCAAAAAATTGTAACAGTAAAATCGAAATAGAATTCGGTCATCTACACTGACACAGTGGTGTTATTGTAGAGGTGTTGATGTTCCTGTTATAGACGTGTTGGTGTTATATAGATGGTGGGTTGTTGTTTTGGTGGGGTTTTTGATAAGTGCTTTGTATTTTGTAGAATGATACCACACAAGACAAAGAGGGGAGAGGCGGCGCTTGCCCGATTGAAGGTTTACGAGGGTATTCCGCCACCATATGACAAAATTAAGAGAATGGTGGTTCCAGATGCACTCAAGTAAGATTTGTGTTTTGATTTAGTTGTTGAATTGGAAATTTTTAATTGAAATTTTATCCTAAATGAGTGGTTGTAATTAGGGTGTTGAGGCTTCAGAAGGGACATAAGTACTGTCTGCTTGGACAGTTGTCTTCAGAGGTCGGATGGAACTACTACGACACCATCAAGGTGGGTTTTTCTTTTCGTTTTTGTTTGATTTTTTCTTAGCATTTGGATGAATGATTTTGTGTTCTAAAATAAGTATTTCGTTGTCCTCTCATTGATAGGAGCTGGAGAAGAAGAGAAAGGAGAGGGCACATTTGAATTATGAGAAGAAGAAGCTACTCAATAAATTGAGGGTTAAAGCTGAGAAGATTGTAGACGAGAAGCTTGGTCCCCAACTTGAAATCCTTGCTCCGGTTAAATACTGAACAGATTGTAGAGCTTGCTCCTCAACTTGAGTATTCGGTAAAGTACTGAGTTGTATTCGGTAGCTTTTTAAAGTCTTTTTTGAGGCACAATATCAAATTGAACTTTGATTTCAGTTTTGTTTGTTATTCTATAACATGACAATTTTAAATATTTTGCTTTTAAATACAATTTTAATGTCATTGGAAATTACTTTTTTGAGAGTTGTCCCTTTTATGAGCATTGTATTAGTTCTATTGATGCGGCGTTTGAAAATTATCTGCATTTCAAATAAATATAAGATGATCAGGATCTTTTTAATCACACTCCACTTTGCTTCTTGGATGATGTATTAGTTGAAATTAGCAATGCATTGAATGAAGCATTTGGAACTGGAAGTTGTTTTGAAGATCTCAATATGAATATACATTTGTTATTTTCTGCCTCATTTACTTAGAAAGGATGTGACAGTCAAATAATTTAATGAATAAAATGATTATAATAATTAATCATTCTATTTAATTGATTATTTTTATAAAAAATAACCATTTTTTTCAACTAAAATCCCTAAAAAACCCGTCTTTCCACTATTTTCTGAAGTATTTATGCATGAAAAAAATCAAGCGCAGAGCTAAAGCCATGCTAATTGGAGCTTGGTTAGGCATGACAACATAATTTGATACCCATGACAACATAATTTTATACCCGTATGTTTTTTTATTATAAAGCATAGACTTTGTGTTTTAATTTTTTATGTTTGGGATGAGTTTGAGTTTAATTTTTCCTATGTAAATTGAGGCAGGAAGCGATGATTGTTGAGATTTGGGTTTGGGTTAATAGTCTAAGTTAATCCAATTTGGTGCGTATTTTGGACTTTAAAGAAGGGTGTGCAATTTTTTTTTATAACTTTAATGCATAACTCTTAAACGTCTCTTCAATAGTATACTTAGGGCATATTATCAATGCATCTCTCTAAATATCATTTTTGCCCAAAAGTTCTCAAAAAAAAGTAATTTGAGCTTTGCAACAAATTTATGTCATTGGAGCTCTTTTTAACATCTCATAACATCAAACCGTTCATTCTCATTAATCAATTTTTTTGGTAAATTTTTAAATTTTTGTCTTTTTTATGTATTGGTTTTTAGTTAGTATTTTTAGGATACATTAGCAAAATATCCGTGTGTTCGTATAGATAAATTTATTTAATATGATATAGATTTTAATTAAATATATATTTAAATTTAAAATAAACTATTTAATTATAAAATAAATAATAATAATATAAACTCAATTTTGACATTTAAAAATAAAAAATATATGTTTTAAATAAAGATAATTGTTAATTAAAATAAAATAAGTATTTCGATGATAGTGTCTCATGAGAAAAAGAGAAATTTTGACATTTGAGAATAAGATTTTTTTTTAAATCTCAAATAGTAAAAATTATTAATTAAAATAAAATAGATATTTTTCTGATAATGATCTTTAATGAAAAGTTAGTTGTGTGTCACTATCGAGTGTTCTCTACTTTCATAAAATAAAAATTTATTTTTATTAAATTTTAAAAATAGATTAATTAATATTTTTAATATTAATAAATAAATATAATTGATTAAATTTGTGTAAAAATAAAATAAAATATATATATTGTATACATTTATGCACTAATAAATATTTAATATGATAATTATATATTATAAGTATAATGATTGAAATGAGGTCATGTGTTAGATAGAAAAAAATTGAGACATATTTACTTTTTTTTTTTATAATCTTCTATTTGTGTAAATTAATGTATAGGAAAGAACAATTTAAGTAGTTTGATGGTAGTTAGTTTTAATAGAAAGATGATTGATACTTAGAAAAAAATAGAAAGGGAAAAAGAAAATGAAGTGTTAAAAAATTAAAAATGAAATTGAGAAAGTGTGGAAAAAACAAATATGAAAGGGATTTGAAATTTGAATTAAAAGAAAAGAATGAAGATGGAGAAAGTTGAAGTTTAAAAATGAATGATTGAAATGAGACCAAGTGTCACTGTGGTAGAGTATGTTGAAAAAAAATTGAGACATTAGTCATTTACTTTTTTCAATCTTTTGGTAGTGTAAATTAATGTAAAGGAAAGAACAATTTAGGTAGTTTGGTGGTAGTTAATTTTAATAGATAAATAGCTAATTAGTTGTTTTAGGCATATTAGGTAGTAGTTTAAACAAAACAAGTAAGCTAGAAGAACATGTGTAACGCCCCGATTCTGAGTTCTCATTTTTATTGAGTCCTTATTTGATTTATTTAAGTAATTATTTTATTTATGTGGAATTTGTGTGATAATATGTTATGTTTACATATTGAGCTATTTTTGCCGACTTTGAGAGTTTCGGGTAAAAATAGGTTGGGGGTATTTTGGGCATTAGTGATAATATTAAGTGGATATTTTGTGCGAATTAATTGATAAGTGTGTGGAAAGAATTTGGGAGGAAAAAAATAGAATATGTGATATAGAGAGAAAAGAGAAAGATAGAAACATTAAGAAGAAAAACAAGAGAAGGAAAAGAGGAGGAGAGAAAAGAAGAGAAAGTGGAGCAAAACCTAGAATCATCAAGAATCAACCTTAGCTTGCGATTAATCAGGTAAGGGTGAGAAGTTTTATCATCTTCATAATGTGTATGATCATGTATGTGCTAGATTGGATTTGTTGGATTGTTTCTATGTTTCCATTTCTAGGTCGGAAGTTGATTTAATCGATAGAAACTGAGTTTTATCGGTTAGAATTTGGAATAGACGGTGTAGTATAGTCGGGTGATGAGTGGGTTGTGCTACTGGAACCGATTTGGATTAAATCGGTCGGTTTTGTGAGGTTTGGGCTTTTGGACAGCCATGGGAGTTCTGAGTTCGCAGGTTCGCCAGGCGAAGCTCAGCGAGTAGCAGCGAACCAAGTCAGAAGCATCCACCCTGTCTTCGCTGGCAAGTTCGCCAGGCGAATGAGAGTGGCGAAGGTTCGCTAGGCGAGTGTGCTAGCGAGTAATTCCAGAATAAATCCCAGTGGTCTTCGCTGGCAAGTTCGCCAGGCGAACGGAGTAGCGAAGGTTCGCCAGGCGAAGGTTAGTGAACACAGCAACATATTTTCTTTTCTTGTGTTTTCCATTCGTGGATCGGTTGTGTGGTTTGGTTGCGATCATTCCTTGTCTGAGATGGCTAATTATGTGTTGTTATACGTGTTGTGGGTAGCCGTATGGTGTTAATCCTAGTTGTGAATTGTGAAGTGTGAAATATGGCCGTTTGGCAATGTTGTGCATTATTTGAATTAAATAGAGATGCATGGCTAGATTGATTGTGAATGTGAACCATGTATGAAAATTGGTGTGAATGGATGATGAATATATATATATATATATATATATATATATATATATATATATATATATATATATATATATATATATATATATATATATATATATATATATATATATATATATATATATATATATATATATATATATATATATATATATATATATATATATATATATATATATATATATATATATATATATATATATATATATATATATGCTTTGTGATACATATATTTGAATGCATAATGAATGTATGCGCCGAATGTGATGAATGCATGAGTATGTTTGTAAACATGTATGCATTTCAAGAGTGTCATGAGTCATGTTGCATGTGAAGCATCATGGTATGCATTCTTGTGTCGATTGATCCCTCGGTGGATTTGCAGAACCTCGTGTGTCCTTGTGGGGTGTGAGCGATGGTTATTTATTGATCCCTCGGTGGATTTGCAGAACCTCATGTGCCCTTGTGGGGTGTGAGTGTTGCACCTCAAAATTTGCTCAACATCTTTTACCTGGTTTATGTTTCATTGCATTATCATTTGCATAGTTCTATCATTTGCATATCATGACATATCATTCATCGAACAGGGGATCAAGTGTGATTATTATCAAGAGAAGCCTAGCAAGAAATCTTATCCAAACTTGAGAAGTCATCCAAGTCATCAGGAGGTGGTGGGAGGTCTTGAGAAGTTTGAATGCATACATGTGGATTTTCTACTATCTTGAGGATCAACTGAGGACTATCAATGGGATGTGAAGCATGAGGTGTGAATATGAGATGTGTATAGAGCTCATGGAGTGCCTAGAGAGCCATGTTGGAGCTAGATCAAGTCATTGTGTCAAATGCAAGAGCCACAGTTGAAGTGCAGACAATTTGGGTTTCATTTGGATCAACCCTAGGTCAATTATGCAATTGAAGAGTATCAAAGCCTACTTTTAGGTCATGGAGTTCATGAAATGATGTGATAATACATTTGTGGTGTTGTGCCAAGATCAAATCAAGAAGAATCAAGAATGTGGGAAGTTGCTAAATTAGGGTTTCAGTGCAAATTACCCTGTTTAGTGCCTAACTTCAAGGCCACATAAGTCAAGATACAAGTTTCAAATGGATCTTTGGCCAACATGAAACTTGTAGAGAATCTCAATACCTTTAATTGGAGTACTAGAAGTCCTCAAGGGGATTTGTAGAACTCAAGTTATGGTCCAGACAAGTTACAGGTCCTCAGATGATTCTGAAATTTGTCTGTGAAAATCATCTGACTTCAAGGCTATTTTTGATCTAGAAGGAGGTTTCACCTGAACTTTTGGTCAACATGAAAGTTGTTCCTCATGATCTTAGCTTTCTAATTTGTACTAGAAGTCTTCCATCTGATTTGTAGAACTCAAGTTATGAGGTTTACAAGTCAGGGGTATTTTGGGAAAGTGAGATTATAGGTCATTTTCAATCATAGGTCCATATCTCTAGCTTGCAAGCTTCAAATGGATATTTGTTCAACATGGAACTTGCTTAAAATGATGTTTTGAGTTCAACCAAGTGGTCATGAGAGTTTGGTTTGTCTCATATCCAAAAGTCATTTGAAATGGCTTGAAAATGAAGGAAATTCAAATATGGAAAGGAGGGAAAAATGTGATTTTGTGCTAGATGCCTCAAACCAAGCAAGTGGGTACAT